TTGGTACTTACTTGTTGTTGCCCCTATAGAAATCCGTGCTGTGACGGTGACTACTTCCCGCTCCTGCTGATTGCGTCATTGTTGATTGTACGTTTGCTTAATTCACGATGCTTACCAATCCGTTTGTCTGTAGAACCAGTTCCTGTCAGTCCTCAATATATCATCTGCTGCCCCACGTCCGTCTGCTCCTATTGACTACTGGCTGCGAACTGCGTATAATTCAATAGCCGCAATCGTCTTGTGAGATCCATAACCGCCCGGATCTTACAAACACAACGAGGGTTATGTGGAAATTGGTTCTCCAACATTACAATCCGGGTTTTCGTTGTGTGTAAAATCTTACTGTTATCCTTTGCGTAATGTTCTTAAATTAGTTCCATGGATGTGTTATATGTTTCCTCGTGTGTCTATTCTATCAATTTTCATCAGCTCTACTGTGTTGTCGAGATTTTTGTCAACAACTTAGTTTCTGTTACTTTTTCAGATTGGATTTCCAGGGTTTTGAAATGCAGTGGAAACGATGAACCGGCGCTGAAGAGACTTGCTTACGCCAGTCACGTGTTGTTTCTGTTCGACCGTTCCGGACATCTTATTTTCATAAAACTTCAAAGGGTAATTTTAGGGAGAATTTCAATCTTAGGCCTGTCTACGCAAGGGTGAAATAGGATGCCCATTATCCGCTCAATGTTCTCAGCTGAAAAAAATTTATAAGTGGGGTTAAACTTTCTTCGGAAGAATGTTGCTTTTTCTTGGGTATGTGCTCAAACCACCAGACTTCCTAATCTACGTTCATGTTTTCGAAGCTATCCAAACTTCATTGTTTACTGAGGCAACCATGCCTCAGTCCAGAAAGTCTCGTAGAATAATATCCTAGCATCACTGGGACACAGGGACGCTATAAGTGGGCTTAAAAGTGTGGACTAATACTCTGAACTTAATTGCTTGGTCGTTTTAGTTCATCAGGGACACGTCATAACTTTCGATATTTCAATTCCATTGTGCGAATACTGAGCTCCGGGCTGCCGGCCGTAAAATTGCAAATGCACTGCGAGTCATGGGGAGAAAGAAGTCCAGTTTGGACCGACACAGAATTTTCTAGGGTGAGCAACATTTTAGACTGAAACCAAAGTTGGCTGGATCTGGACAGGCCTTAACATGGTATCACTGTCATTGCTAACGCCAGACTCGCGGTCACCGTGACGAAAATTTGTGATGTAAAATTGAGATCAAGATGACCTGAATTCATCTCAGTTCATTTTTCTAACTGTGGGCGTTTGGTTTGGGCCTGTTTTGGTTGGGGCTTTCAGAGCATTTGAAAGCGTAATCTTTGTATTCATTCCTTCCAGTTATTCGACACACCCGATCTTATCGATACAGATGTGCTTTATTCCGATGAGTTTGAAACTTGGATTTCACTTTGAGACCCTAGCTGATACAGTAAACTAATTATTTCAATGCTCCCAGCTGTTCTGCATGACTTTTGGTCATCTTGAACGACGAGTGCACAAACAGTGTAGCTTTCCTGCTTCGTTGAAGGACACCAAAAAGTAGGATATCAAGCCGGGTGCTTGATCCATTCTTCTTCGGGGAAAAAGACAGCTTTGTGTTAGAGACCTTTATTCGTGTAGACATTTCGGATACTTTGTGAGCACATTGAAGAATGAGCTTTGTCCAAAACAAGCTACCGTCAAACAGTTCCGGTTGTCAAACGAAAACATTGCGAGTCATGGGGAGAAAGAAGTCCAGTTTGGACCGACACAGAATTTTCTAGGGTGAGCAACATTTTAGACTGAAACCAAAGTTGGCTGGATCTGGACAGACCTTAACATGGTATCACTGTCATTGCTAACGCCAGACTCGCGGTCACCGTGACGAAAATTTGTGATGTAAAATTGAGATCAAGATGACCTGAATTCATCTCAGTTCATTTTTCTAACTGTGGGCGTTTGGTTTGGGCCTGTTTTGGTCGGGGCTTTCAGAGCATTTGAAAGCGTAATCTTTGTATTTATTGCGTCCAGTTATTCGACACACCCGATCTTATCGATACAGATGTGCTTTATTCCGATGAGTTTGAAACTTGGATTTCACTTTGAGACCCTAGCTGATACAGTAAACTAACTAATTATTTGCTCCCAGCTGTTCTGCATGACTTTTGGTCATCTTGAACGACGAGTGCACAAACAGTGTAGCTTTCCTGCTTCGTTGAAGGACACCAAAAAGTAGGACATCAAGCTGGGTGCTTGATCCATTCTTCTTCGGGGAAAAAGACAGCTTTGTGTTAGAGACCTTTATTCGTGTAGACATTTCGGATACCTTGTGAGCACACTGAAGAATGAGCTTTGTTCAAAACAAGCTACCGTCAAACAGTTCCGGTTGTCAAACGAAAACATCACTGGCAACTCGCACACAACAAAACAACACATTAAGTAACTCTACTTGAGACTCACGCTAAATCTAATTTCTACCTGAATCTGCAGAACGTGAGCTTGTTCGTCTCAAAACTATTGACTTCATCAAACCAATTGGTGGAGGAACGCTGTGTTCATTTCTGCTCAAAAGCTATCAGCCTATCATTTTATTTCACTTACCGCTCATCAAACGGGTTTATTGGTTTTCGCTTCCACTGCGTTGGCGTGCAACCAATTGACAATGACGATATTTGTAGAGCGCGAAAGGTGGTCTCTGTCTGAGAGTCGATTTTGAATGCTTCAATTGTCCTAGTTCGTGTGTCCTAGCCGAGTGTCAATCGCTAAGTTGTCCATTTAGCCAAATAAATACCAGGTCGTTTCCCAGCGCATGATAAAAGTTGTCCATCGTAATAATATT